TAGACAGTTATACACATGTAACAGATCTAGACAGTAATACACACGTAACAGACAGTCATACACACGGGGTACACACGTAATAGACAGTTATACACATGTAACAGATCTAGACAGTAATACACACTAACAGACAGTAATACACACGGGGTACACACGTAATAGACAGTTATACACACGTAACAGATCTAGACAGTTATACACACGTAACAGATCTAGACAGTAATACACACGTAACAGACAATAATATACACGGGGTACACACGCAATAGACCGTTATACACACGTTACAGATCTAGACAGTTATACACACGTAACAGACAGTCATACACACGGGGTACACACGTAACAGACAGTCATACACACGTAACAGACAGTCATACACACGTAACAGACAGTTATACACACGTAACAGACAGTCATACACACGAGGTACACACGTAACAGACAGTCATACACACGTAACAGACAGTAATACACACGTAACAGACAGTAATATACACGGGGAACACACGTAACAGACAGTAATATACACGTAACAGATCTAGACAATAATACACACGTAACAGACAGTAATACACACGGGGTACACACGTAACAGACAGTAATACACACGTAACAGACAGTAATACACACGTTAACGTTACAGACAGTAATACACACGTTAACGTTACAGACAGTAATACCACGGAATGGCCATTTTAAAAGTCCGTGGTTATACACAAGTCCCGTACACGTTACAAACCGGAAGTTACCACTACCATGCATGTTTACCTTAGTAACATATATACCCGTAAAGGACTAGTTCCTAACATTAGTTAATCTTTGTATCAAGTCAACATACCTACCTTCTCGTGTGGTCGTGTTGTCCCCGAGTATTATACTCTGGTGAGACGAACAGATCCTATATTTAATTACGTTCTAGTAACTGCGACAGGTTTTGTATGTCAGTCATGTGACTGCAGTAACTATTTTTAAACATGACTAGCCCCATAACGTACAAAGTACAGAGGAATGGGATCCGGAAACAAGTTGAAATAATAGCCCCAGTATTATTTAGCCTACAGCGTTTATAAACTCATACTTCTAATTATAACTGTGATATTGAGCTTTGATGCTATGTATAGTGTCAAACAATTGAAAATATCTTCAACTCACTTGTTTATAAATATCTTCAATTGAATAAAACCATTTTTAAATTAGTTGATTGTTAAAATATATCTATTGTCTCCTATAATTAGAGTCTAAAAACATTATGTTTGTTATTGAACTTGTCGAAGCTTTCATGTGAATTGTTCATGTTCTTTTCAGTTTGAAGAATAATCTGTTAATAATTATTCAATCTATCGAGTGGACAATGTGCGTCCAAATCCCTAAAGGGCCATATTGGACCTTGATGGAAGGACTGACATATGGACATAGATGGAAGGACTGACATATGGACATAGATGGAAGGACTGACATATGGACATAGATGGAAGGACTGACATATGGACATAGATGGAAGGACTGACATATGGACATAGATGGAAGGACTGACATATGGACATAGATGGAAGGACTGACATATGGACATAGATGGAAGGACTGACATATGGACATAGATGGAAGGACTGACATATGGACATAGATGGAAGGACTGACATATGGACATAGATGGAAGGACTGACATATGGACATAGATGGAAGGACTGACATATGGACATAGATGGAGGGACTGACATATGGACATAGATGGAGGGACTGACATATGGACATAGATGGAAGGACTGACATATGGACATAGATGGAAGGACTGACATATGGACATAGATGGAGGGACTGACATATGGACATAGATGGAGGGACTGACATATGGACATAGATGGAAGGACTGACATATGGACATGAATGGAAGGACTGACATATGGACATAGATAGAGGGACTGACATATGGACACGGATGGAAGGACTGACAAATGGACATAGATGAAGGGACTGACATATGGACATAGATGGAGGGACTGACATATGGACATAGGTGGAGGGACTACCATATGGACATAGATAGAGGGACTGACATATGGACATGGATGGAAGGACTGACATATGGACATAGATGGGAGGACTGACATATGGACATAGTTGCAATGACTGACATATGGACATAGATGGAGGGACTACCATATGGACATAGATGGAGGGACTGACATATTGACATAGATGGAGGGACTGACATATGGCCCTAGATGGAGGGACTGACAAATGGACATAGATGGAGGGACTGACATATGGACATAGATGAAGGGACTGACATATGGACATAGATGGAAGGACTGACATATGGACATGAATGGAGGGACTGGCATATGGGCATAGATGGAGGGACTGACATATTGACATAGATGGGGGGACTGACATATGGACATTATAAGATGGAGGGACTGACATATGGACATAGATGGAGGGACTGACATCTTGACATAGATGGAAGGACTGACATATGGACATATATGGGAGGACTGACATATGGCCATAGATGGAAAGACTGACATATGGACATAGATGAAGGGACTGACATATGGACATAGATGAAGGGACTGACATATGGACATAGATGGGAGGACTGACATATGGACATAGTTGCAATGACTGACATATGGACATAGATGGAGGGACTGACATATGGACATAGATGGAGGGACTGACATATTGACATAGATGGAGGGACTGACATATGGACCTAGATGGAGGGACTGACAAATGGACATAGATGGAGGGACTGACATATGGACATAGATGAAGGGACTGACATATGGACATAGATGGGAGGACTGACATATGGACATAGTTGCAATGACTGACATATGGACCTAGATGAAGGGACTGACATATGGACATAGATGAAGGGACTGACATATGGACATAGATGGGAGGACTGACATATGGACATAGTTGCAATGACTGACATATGGACATAGATGGAGGGACTGACATATGGACATGGATTGAGGAAAGGACTTATTAAGGGATGGAAAAAAGAATATTTGAAGGGGTTTACAAACAGACCTATGGATACTGATAATATTATATGGCCCCAATCTTCATTTCCTAGTGGCCATAAAAAAGGCTTAAAAGCCATACAGCCTTTTGCATTAAATGCAACTTTGTCAAGATATAAATCATAACCAAGACTGAAGTAAATCGTTCATGTATTTTATTACCTTTGAATACAATAGTGTAACATGATGCAGTTTGTAATTTATAGAACATCATACAGCCATGATTTAGTTCTGACAGGTTTTCTGTTTCTACTAATAACAACAAATACGAGAAACGAGGAGACAAACTTGTTCAGTTTTGTAATTTTTACACAATACTGTTTGTACTTCTTTAAACATGAGAGAAATTTAGTATGTATACTTCATTTTTATCATCTAACATCTGTGACAACAAACCATACCTTTACATAATTTGAGTAAAGAACGGCATTATAACATTACCTCCCCTTATCATAGCCAACCAGTATTAACTGGTCCTACTTATAATTGTTAAATAACAACCCGTCTTGTTCATTATATATGAAAAATATGGCAGTACAAAAATAACCCTAGTGGGCATGCATGGCGCTTTTTCACAATGAGAGGAGCAAAAATTAAGATGCTTGATGAGGGTGTATGACAAAATACAGGGGTCACGAAGTACTTCCTTCCTACACAATAAAGGGGCCAGCGAGCACTCCCTTCCTACACAATACACGTATCACCAAACACTCCCTTCCTACACAATACACGTATCACCAAATACTCCCTTCTTACACAATACACGTATCACCAAACACTCCCTTCTTACACAATACACGTATCACCAAATACTCCCTTCTTACAAAATACGGGGGCCACGGATCACTCTTTTCCTACACAATACACGTATCACAAAACACTCCCTTCCTACACAATACACGTATCACCAAACACTCTCTTCCTACACAATACACGTATCACCAAACACTCCCTTCCTACACAATACACGTATCACCAAACCCTCTCTTCCTACATAATACATGTATCACCAAATACTCCCTTCCTACATAATTACATAATACATGTATCACCAAACACTCTCTTCCTACACAATACACGTATCACCAAACACTCTATTCCTACATAATACATGTATCACCAAATACTCCCTTCTTACACAATACGTGGGCCACGGATCACTCCTTTCCTACATGATACACGTATCACCAAATACTCCTGCCCTACACAATACACGTATCACCAAACACTCTCTTCCTACACAATAACCGTATCACCAAACACTCTCTTCCTTCACAATACACGTATCACCAAACACTCTCTTCCTACATAATACATGTATCACCAAATACTCCTTTCCTACACAATACACGTATCACCAAACACTCCCTACCTACACAATACATTTATCACCAAACACTCTCTTGCTACACAATACACGTATCACCAAACACTCTATTCCTACATAATACATGTATCACCAAATACTCCTTTCCTACACAATACAGGGGCCACGGATCACTCCTTTCCTACACAATACCCGTATCACCAAACACTCTCTTCCTACATAATACACGTATCACCAAACACTCTCTTCCTACATAATACACGTATCACCAAACACTCTCTTCCTACACAATACACGTATCACCAAATCCTCCCTTCTTACACAATACACATATCACCAAACACTCCCTTCCTACACAATACACCTATCACCAAATACTCCCTTCTTACACAATACACGTATCACCAAACACTCCCTTCCTACTCAATACACGTATCACCAAACACTCCCTTCCTACTCAATACACGTATCACCAAACACTCCCTTCCTACTCAATACACGTATCACCAAACACTCCCTTCCTACTCAATACACGTATCACCAAACACTCCCTTCCTACACAACACATGTATCACCAAATACTCCTTTCCTACACAATACAGGGGCCACGGATCACTCCTTTCCTACACAATACCCGTATCACCAAACACTCTCTTCCTACATAATACATGTATCACCAAATACTCCTTTCCTACACAATACAGGGGCCACGGATCACTCCTTTCCTACACAATACCCGTATCACCAAACACTCTCTTCCTACATAATACATGTATCACCAAATACTCCCTTCTTACACAATACACGTATCACCAAACACTCCCTTCTTACACAATACACATATCACCAAACACTCCCTTCCTACACAATACACCTATCACCAAATACTCCCTTCTTACACAATACACGTATCACTAAATACTCCCTTCCTACACAATACACGTATCACCAAATCCTCCCTTCCTACACAATACACGTATCACCAAATCCTCCCTTCCTACACAATACACGTATCACCAAATCCTCCCTTCCTACACAATACACGTATCACCAAATACTCCACTTCTTACACAATACACGTATCACCAAATACTCCCTTCCTACATAATTACATAATACATGTATCACCAAACACTCTCTTCCTACACAATAACCGTATTACCAAACACTCTCTTCCTTCACAATACACGTATCACCAAACACTCCCTACCTACACAATACACGTATCACCAAATACTCCACTTCTTACACAATACACGTATCACCAAACACTCCCTTCCTACTCAATACACGTATCACCAAACACTCCCTTCCTACTCAATACACGTATCACCAAACACTCCCTTCCTACTCAATACACGTATCACCAAACACTCCCTT